GCACTCGTAGGGCCTTTCTCCTGTGTGAACTCGCTGGTGATAACGGAGGGAGGCACCGGAGGAGAAAGACTTCCCACACTGGCTGCATTTGAAAGGCTTCTCTCTGGCGTGAACTCTCTGATGGTAACAGAAGATGTCGCTCCCGGCAAAAGATTTCCCAGCCTCGCCGCACCCGTAAGGCCTTTCTCCAGGGTGAACTTTCCGGTGTTTTCCGAGGCTACTGCTCGTGGGAAACGACTTTCCACACTCGCTGCACTCGTAAGGCCGTTCCCCGGTGTGAACTCTCTTATGACAATGAAGGGCGTAGATCCTGGTAAAGGATTTCCCACACTCACCGCACTCAAAGGGCCTTTCTCCAGTGTGAACTCTCTGGTGATACAGGAGGCTACTTCTCCGGGTGAAAGATTTCCCGCAGTCACCGCACTCGTAGGGCTTTTCTCCCGAGTGAGTCTTCTGATGAGACCGGTAGGTCGAGCGACAGATGAAAGTCTTGCCGCACTCGCTGCATTTGTACGGCCTCGTGCCCGTGTGAATGCTGAGATGGTAACGGAGGCCGGAGCTGGTGGTGAAACATTTCCGGCACTCGCCGCACTCGTAAGGCCTCTTTCCCAGGTGGCCTTGCTCATGGTACCGAAGGGTGAAGCTGTTGGTGAAAGATTTGCCGCACGTGCCGCACGCATAAGGCTTCTCTCCTGTGTGAATTCTCTGGTGGCGAACGAGCTTCCACCTGTTACTGAAGGATTTCCCACACTCGCTGCAGGCGTGAGACCTTTCCCCGGTGTGGACACGATGATGGTAGCGCAGGGCCGTCGGGGTGATGTACGATTTCCCACAGTCACTGCACACGTAAGGTCTTTTGCCCGTGTGGGAGCTCTGATGATAACCAAGGCCCGCGATAGAGGTGAAGGACTTGGCGCAGTAGGTACACTTATAAGGCTTCTCTCCAGTTTGAACTCTCCGATAGCGAACGAACGCCAAGCCCCGACTGAAAGATTGCGCACACTCACCGCACACGTAGCTGTTCTCTCCGCCGCGCCGAACCCGGGGATAGATAAAGACAGGCTTGTGGCCGAAGGGTTTTCCACATTTGCTGCACGTGGACTGCCTGGGACCTGGATGAATTTTTCGATGCTGACTGAGGGCTGAGCTTCCACGGGAGAATCTTCCACTTTCGCCAGACACGTGAAAACCCTTTCCTGTGCGGACTCTGGGGTGCCTAACAAATGAGGATTTGTACCTGAACGGTTTTCCGCACTCACTGGACACAACACACGGTCTTGCCGTATGGACGTTCTGGTCCTG